GTTGGGCTACCGAAGTGGGGGTGCCATCCCCTCTGCAGAGGATCAAAATTATGATGGCATGTCTTCGGATCATCGGATGTTTCCCAGACCGTCGCCAATAGCCCATAGTGTAGCTCTAGTGCAACGTAAATGAGCTACAACTACAACTGAAATATATATTTGAATAAAAACACTGTACACTTGTACACTGAAATCCTCGATAATCATCGAACTCGCAATCCTCTTTGGATCAACGTTTTCACAACCTCCAGGGTTCTATGGTTTTCTCAACCAATTATAACCTTTTAGATTCCTCCAGTTTTGCGTTATATCATCAAACTCACGCCATGGAGTACAAGACTGAATAATATAATAAACACGTGGGATCTTCCCTAGCAGAGTAGTCTCTCCACTTCGCCAAACATTTTGTAGCGCGGAGGTAACGGGTTCGGATCACGCCGAATCCCTTGAAGTAACATTGTGACATCCTTGTGCTATTTATTCTTCAACTTGACAAGGGTTCATTGGCCGTACTTAGTGCATTTAATATGTTAAGCAATAAATGAAGAAATAAATGTACACATTACCCTCTATCATACAATTCAGATATCTGATGTATAGAATCAACATGGGCGGGGTTAGTAAGCAAACGACAAACTGTTGTCGACAACGATGTCAGCGGCCATACCATGATGGATATAACAGTTCTCGTCCGATCACCGAAAAAAACTGCTTACAATGGTTAGTCTGGATAGCCTGGTTGGTAGGGCTGGTTCGTGGATTCAATCCATGCCGGCCGAAGACTCTCCGTGTAGTAAATGTTGACTGGTGCACTTTAAATCTATCGAGACGCAAAGTCCTCCATGTTCCCATAACACATCAATACATCTGGGGGTACTGATCCAGGAATTTCCTTGTCTTCTGGATTGGTTCAAAATTTCAAGGCTACGGAGTTGAACATTAGTAGCCGTAAACCAAAAATTGAGTCGGCTGTTCAACGACTGCTAAAATAAAAATAAAATAAAATCTGCTCTCTCAGCTACTACGTTATCCCGACTGGTTTTGAAATCTTGGAAAGTTTCCGATCGTTTATTGTGCTCAGTTACATAAGTGCAGTTTATAAGCCTTTTTTAAGTTGCAGAGTAAAAAGAAAATTTAAAAAAGGACAGCACAAAGATACAGAGTTACGGCGGAATACGAACCCGCTACCTCCGTGTTACAGAATGCTTGGTGGATGATACCGCTCGGGCAGGGAGTTCTCTCCCCTCCGGTCACGCAGTGGACTGATCGTTAAGACACGGTTCCCAGCAGATCACCAAAGTCAAGCATCACTGGCTGCGGTCATTGTGCGGGTGGGTGACCACTTGGATCATTCTGCGTAGGGACCGAGGGTGTGCGGTATTGGTTCTCGTTATACTGTTCTACCGTAAAGTACTCGACTTCGCGTGCAGGTCGTTGGGCTACCGAAGCAGGGGTGCCATCCCCTCTACAGAGAATCAAAATTGTGATGGCTTGTCTTCAGATCATCCTCAGGGATGTTTCCCAGATCGTCGCCAATAGCCCATTGTGCAGCCCTAGTGCGACGTAAAGTAACTACAACAACAACATTCTCTCCCCTCCCAATCTTCTGATTGTTTACTGGTTGCTAGCGTCAAAAGTTCTTGTCTGTGAAATACGCAGTTTGCCTGACTCTTTTGAATTGATCCGTTTGTAAGTCAGTAAAACTATTTTTGTTTTGTTATTGTTTTAATCTATAAACATGCTATATGCGTTGAACATGTATTAAATTTTAAAACATTTAGTTAATATATTAAAATCAGAATGGAGTTAATTTTCAATCCAACAGTCAAGCTAGGTAATACACTTTACTTTGCTCAATTTTTGTTGTTGTTCCAATCAGAATAAATTGAGTAGTTTTCAATCCTTTTTCAATTCATTTACTATGGCGGGAATTTTGTAGAGTAAATATCGGTGGGACATGGGTGATCTTTGATTTCAAACCGTTATTTCGACAATATAGTTTCGAATTTATCATGTATACAGAATAAATATATGAAGCTTTTATGTTTCCGTGATGTCATAAATATTTATTAATATAAGTTACTTGCATCTTTACCTCAAATTAAATGAATATTTTGTTATCATCTACCTAAAATAAATTAATTTCTAACGTAGAGTAAAAATATGTAGATTCAAATTTCACACTATTCGCATATTTAAATTCAAATGAAATCTAAGAATGCTTTTGTTATTTGGCCGTATTTATTTGAGTAACGGAGAATAATTGTATCAATAAACAAATTCAGTTCTTTTTATTTCATTTTATTTTAGCGAGTTTTAGACAAGAAGTTAACTTTTTAAACTATAGGAAATTAGCTCAGTAAAAACTTCAATTTTGTTTAAAAACTCTTATTAACTCATACTCAGGGTTTTAGAAATTCTGCCTAATGTTATTATTCCTATTTTATCTTAATTTTCTCATGTTTATCTGTACGAAATAAACATGGCAAAAAATTCTTTTGAATATTATTATACTTACCTCATTACATGCAATTAGAGCATATTTAGGATTTATTAAAATCTCGATTTCTGCAATAATTTTATAACTGAATTATCAGTTTCAAAAAACGCAATTTTTACATTAATTGTAATTATTTTAGTTAAAAATCTTAGCTTTCGTCTTTATTAGATTGTCAATGCTTACACAGATTTAAATATTAAACTACAAATGCAATTCAAATAATATAATATATATAATTTATTTTATTATTTCGATCACCGTATAATCACAAAATTTGTGTTATCTGGGCAGCAAACTACTAGCATAATGTAAAAAAAAAGAACAAAGTTCATTACAATTTAGCTGCTAAAATTCTTTCCGAAATTGAACTACCGGCTGATATTTTTTCAGTGTAGAAGACTTTATTTTATCGCCGGCAATAAAGTTCATTACTTTTCGTGGATTACAGTTAATATCATCTGGTGAAAAGATTTTTTTTCTTCTTTAACATAAAAGAGACGAAAGATTAAAAATTCCGTCTGATGTCAGATTTTGTTCGTAAATTGATTATGAAAGTGCCGTAAACTTTTTCACCAAACTAGTTTTTTGTCTAGTAATTCATTTGAATAAGGTTAAGTACGTGATGGTTTTAAATATTTATTCCAGTTTGTAATGTTTTTGTGAATATACAGATCCTATTTGTTTCGTAAAATAATAAATTAAATATATTGCCATTTACAACAATTCTTATTAATCTTAATTACTAATACTCAACTATGTAACTATGTTGAGCATGATTTTTTTAAATCAAATTTATAGTTTTTTTTAAAAAATTTGTTCAATCTTTGATTTCAATATGGTTGGAAGGTATATTTTGCTATCTACATAGTACATTTTTTATATACTTTTAGAATTTCTATTAATTTAAAAATTTTCATACCAGGTTTTTCAAGTTAATGCTTAAATGAGAAGGAAAAACGTTATTAAAATGTGATGAATCATTATGTAACTTATTCATAATACTCTACCTTATTCGGTATTTAAACTAGTTGAGGCTGATTTTCAATTTCACTTTTACTCTGATTGAAAACAATAATAAAGAGTAAGATTTTGGATACCTTTTCTTTTCCGTTTGAAGGTCACCTGTAAACAAAATAGGGATTCATTTCATTTCTGCCATATAATCACGAAATTTGAAATTATTGATTTAACAAAAGATCTATTAACTTTTGAAAAAAAAAAGTTTATGAAAATCAGGCTGTTGAAATTTTCTCCTAAATTGAGCTACCAGACAATATTTATTCAATTTAGAAAACTATTTAATTGTCAGCAATAAAGTTCAGTACAGTTAATATCATCTGATGAAATTGTTCTTCTTTACTCGACCAGATTCTGTAAGTAAGGCCATATGAAACAATTTTATATTCTTATGTAAAGTTCATTACAGTTATCTAACGCAAATGTTTTCTTTCTTCAACATGAAAGAGACAAAAGCTTTAAAATATCGCCTAATATCAGATTCTGTAACTAAAGTTATATTTTACAATTTTATTGACTGCTGCAAAGTTCATTATAGTTATCTAAAACAAATGTTTACTTTCTTCAACATGAAAGTGAGAAAAGATATCGTCTGACATCAGATTCTATTCGTAAATTTATTATGTAAGAATTTTAAAAAAAATTCCCCCAAGAATTTTTCAGCTAGCTATTCCTTTGAATAAAATCATGATGGTTATAGTTAAAAGAAATTAGAATGAAATTAGAATTAGAATTCCCCAATTTTCCTTGGATTAAATTAAGATTTTAACTTAGATGTATGTAGTTCTTGTTGTTTCAAGGATTTAATTTTTAAAAAAAAACACAAAACGTTGGCATTTTACTCGAAAAACGTTTCAAATTTGCGAGTTCATTATTGAATCATTCTAATACTATAAATGAAATCAGTTAAGGTCTGAAACTTACAATAAAATAAACCATATTCGAATTTAAATAAGAGTACTTGCTATCGGGCAAAATGAACGATCCCCCCCCCCGACACAGGATGATAACAATAGCGATTCATAACATGTTTGTTAATCCCCACCCTATCCTTTTCGGCCAAGAATGTACTTCATGTGCTCAAAATATTTGCTTTCAACTTCGCGTATTTATTACACATAGAAGCTGTAATCATCCACAGAGCGTTCAAGTTATATGGTTCAAAATGCAAGGAGGCTGAACTTGGTTATTAATTGCTTTATTTAAGTTCAAGTTATTAATATAATTTCATGTAGATTTTATGCTTGTTAGCGAACATAAATTTTATATTGCCTCATTATTGTTTCAAAACCTCAAACTCAAAGTGTTATTAGTTAAAAATATAGTCATATTTAAGTTTTAAAAAAACCTAACATAGAAATTTTTTTCTTGATCTTAAATGAACTTTGTAGTGTTTACCATATTTTGAGAAATGTTTCCAATAAAATTCTTTGCCTTAAGTGCATCAAATTTTTTTAACTAGCTTTGAATTTTTAAATTTTGAAAAAGTGGCTGCATATATTTCAAAATGGCCACTATTTAAAATGCTACTACTGGCCATTGGTCGTCAACAGAATTTATTAATTTTGCTTTACAGTTTTTGCAATTAAATTAATGCATTTAGCTGCAATTATTTGTTAGCACGGAAACGTTTTTTGTATGTCATAAAATTCTCGTATATCATAAAATGAATACTTAACAATTTTGACCGAGCTAACGATCCTGTGACATCAAACCATTAGTAAAATGGGGCAAAAATCACATCTCCATATCAAGCACTTTTGCATCAATACATCAATCTAGTAGAGAGCCGTGGTAGCACCAGGGAATAGGATAGATCCGCTTTTCAATGAGGTGAACCGGGTTAAAATTGTAGCGATGGCTGATCAATACGAATTCCGCACCCGGTTCGAACTGACCACGGTTTTGACGAAAAATATCTTCAGTGGTAGACGGATCATGGATTAGAGCCCCTATGCAGTCAGGTTAACCATGAGAGGCTTCCGTGGTTTCCTTCTCTTTGTAACGCAAATGCCGTTCAATTCCATTAAAAAGTCCTACACGGAGGCAAATTTCTACCAAACCTTGAGCCAGGAGTTACGTTGTCTCCTGAATTGGGTTCAAAATTACAAAGGCTTCGGAGTTGAACATTAGCAGTCCTAAATCTAAAATTGGGTCAGCTGTTCAACTACTGTTATAATTCATCTATTAGAGGCGAGTTCAAGTATTGATTGCGAGAGATGTGTTTTAATATTTTCATGACTAATAGTTTTCAATAGAAAACACTCAATTTTTTTCACTCTATGAAATAAGAAATCTGATTTACTAATCTGTTATTTAGTTTTGATATAAAAAAAGTTAAATATTTTAAAATTTATAGTATTTTAAAAAACATTTAAAAAAAACAGTAACGCTACTTAAAGCTCCACTACATGTAGATGTTTATTTCTTTTTAAATATACAATAACGAAATTTTAGGCGAGTATTATCAATAAAAAAAAAATTCCATTTTTAAAGAATTATTTTTCGATGCATATTTTTATATTTTCAATCTAATATCAATGATAAGAAATAAAAAATAAAATAGGACACCTCATGCAAAATTTATTTATTGATCACAAGATGCAAAAAAATCTTATAATTCGAAGAATAAAAATAAAAAAAGTGAGAAGGGGGTAAAAAAAAAAAAAACTACGTTCGCTACCTGCCTTATCGCATCCACAGCCAATTCGTTTCTATAATTCTCCTCCACTTTGACCCTTTTCTTCGAAAAAAAAAAGAGCGCCAAGAACTCCAAAAGTCGCCCAAAATTAAAATCAGGCAGAAGGTAATTGGATGCTCTCTGCAGATACCGCTTCAAAGAAATAAAAAGGAGCAGCACGGAAGCGAGATTCTGCGAGGGAAAGTGAAATAAGAAAGAACAGGGCGGAGAAAACTGGGGCTTATCGACAAAGCAGGGCTTTTAGAAAATGAGAAGAAGGGAAAAAAGGGGGGATCGAAAGTCGCGGCTCATCGAGCGCTATTTCAACCGAAGAGATTAGCTGACATTTTCACCGTTAATCCAAAGGGACAACTAAGAGAGGGGCAAAAATTTACGACTATACGCCCCCCCCCTTTTTTTTATTGAAGGAGAAATTCTGGCGAATTCCATATTCAAAATTTTAATTCCCTGTCGTTGAAATGCGCAATTTGT